TCCAGAAGTGAAAAAAGGTAAGTACTGTCATGGTAGCAGGTAAAAGTATAAATCCCACTAAAGTAGAAAAAATTTTTTTAAATTATCAATGCAATAAACCACCAAACCACAGAGATGACTAAGAAAGGAAAAAATGAACAAAGATTATTCAAAACAGCTAGAAGAAAATCAACAAAATGATAGATATCAGTCTGAACCTTTTGATAACAACTCTGAATGTAAATGGTCTTCTCCAATTAAAAGACACAGACCGACTGAATGGATTAAAGAATATACAACCCACCAATGTGGTTTCCATTAGAATAAAAAAACTCACTAGTAAAGACAGGCTGCAAGTGAAAGGATCAAAAATTGTATTCCAAGCAAATGGAATCCTAAAGCAAGCATGAGTGCCTACCTTTGTATCTGACAAAACAGACTTTGAGACAAGAAGACACAAATAAACTCACTATATAATGATTAAGAGATAGATTCAGCAAGGAGATACAATCATTGTAAACCTACATGTACCTAATGTCAGAACACCTAGTTTTATAAAACAAAACATTATTAGACCTCAAGAGAGAGGTAGGCTCTCTTTAGTGGGGTATTTCAGTACCCTGCAGTCCCTAGTGGATAAATCAACAAATATCAGCAAAGAAACATCATAGTTAAATGACACTATAGGTCACATGGATTTCACTGAACAAAACACTGTTTTGAATGGACAGTGGGGCATTGAGGAAGTTAAAAGAAAAATGTTAAATTGCTTGAAACCAATGAAAATGGAAACATGGTATAATCAACATATGTGAGATACAGTAAAAGCAGTCCTGAGGGAAGTGTATGGTAATGAATGCCTACATTAAAAAAAAAAGAAAAAGAAAAATTTTAAATAACCTGATTGTTGGTGTTGGAAAAACTGATTTCAACCTGCCAAAGATTAAAACGAGACCCATATCTATCACCATGCACTAAACTAAGATCGAAATGGATTAAAGATCTAAATTTTAAGACAGAAACACTAAACTTGCTGGAAGATAAGTTAGGTAGAACTCTTGCAGACATTGGCCTAAGAAAAGACATTTGAACAAAACCTCAGTAGCACGGGAACTAACACAAAGAATCAACTACTGGGATCTCATCTTATTAAAAAGCTTCTGCACTGTAAGAGGAACCACCAACAGAGCTAGGAGAAAACCTACAATGTGGGAAAAAATTTTAGCAGCTGGACCTTAGCTATCTAGAATATATAAAAAACTGAAAAAAATCAGACCTCCCAAATTCAAAGACCCAATTCAAAAATGGGCATCTGAAATGAACAGACAATTCTCAGAACAAGAAGTAAAAGCAGCAAATAAATATATGAAAAAATGTTCAGCATCACTGGTCATTTGAGAGATGCAGATGAAAACAACACTGAGATTCCACCTCTCCCCAGAAAGAGTGGCTGCTGTCAAGAAATCATCCAATAACAAATGCTGGTGGGGTTGTGGGGAGAAAGAAACCCTTCTCCATTATTGGTGCGAGTGCAGACTGGTGCAACCACTGTGGAAATCAGTATGGAGATACCTCAAAGAACTAGGGTTGGAAGTCCCATTTGACCCAGCTATTGCCGTGCTGGGTATCTTCCCCAACGAATTAAAAGAATCGTACCACAGCAATATATGTGCACTCATGTTTATAGCAGCACAGTTTGTAATAGCTAAAGGTTGGAAACAGCCCAAGTGCCCATCAACTGGAGACTGTATAAAGAAGGTGTGGTTTTTATAAAATGGAGTACTACTCAGCCATAAAGAATAAGAAATTAGAGTCATTTATAGCTAAATGGATGTATATTGAGGCCATACTCTTAAGTGAAATAAATAGGACACTCATGTGTAAATACTGAAGTTTCTCTAGTGTGAGAAACTGAAAGTGTAAATAAGGGTTAAAATGATTAAAATGAATAATTGATAATTTGAAATAGGAAGAAAAGGTCCAAAGTGGTAGGGGAGGTAGGAGGGGAAGGGAAAAGGAAAGAAGGGAAAGAAAAAATTATGAGAAAAGAAAAAAATGGAAACAAAGTCTATGTAAATAGGGAAGGGTGGAGTGAGTGAAGGGCGCACAGGTAATGGAGAAAAAATAAGAACCAAGATACATCGTGTACAGGTACAAGCACCCAATGATGTAGATGTATTATATACCTAAAATATACTGACAAAAGAATTTAAGGAAAAAAATAACCTAATTGTACATCTCAAGGTCTTAGAAAAGCATGAACCATACCTAAAATTAGTAAAAAGGAAGAAATAAATGAAATGGAGTCTAAAAGAACAATACCAAGGATCAGTGAAACAAAGAGTTGGTACTTTGAAAGGATAAACAAAATCGACAAACTTTGAGTTAGACTAACCAAAGAGAGAATGAGGACCCAAATAAATGAAATTGCATGTTTAAACAAAAAGAAGGCATTACAACGTAAAAATAGAGTGTCTCTGGGAATTATTTTGAAAAATTTGATACTAACAAATCAGAAAATCTGAAGAGATAGACACATTTTGGGATGCATATGATCTACCAAAATTGAACCAAAAGGATTTAAAAACCGGAATATACCAATGACAAGTAATGAGATTGAATCAGTAATTTTAAAAAAAAAAAAATCCCCCAACAAAGAAAAGCCCGGAATCAGATATTTTTACTGCTGATTTTTAGCAAACTCAGCTCTCTGTATCCATCGTTCCCCTGTTACGAAAACCTGACAAGGACACAGCAAAGAGAGGAAACTATAAACTCTTGCCTTTGGTGAATACAGATGCAAAAATCCTCAACAAAATATGGTACTAGCAAATTGAATTCACAGCACATCAAAAGGATCATACACCAAGATCAAATTGGTTTCATTCTGGAGATGCAAGATATGCAAATCAATAAATGCAGTGTATTACATAAGCAGAATGAATGCTAAAAATCAAAATTATTTCAATAGATGCAGTAAAAACATTCCTTCAAAATAAAAATCACTGACAAATTATAGAAGAATCACATCTGAACATAATAAAGGCTACAATGAGCAGCCCATAGCCAGTACATGGTGAACAGAGGAAAAAATATGAAACATTTCCTCACAGATCCAAACAAGACAGGGGAGTCCGCTCCCACTACTCTTACTTAATGTAGTACTAGAATGTTTAGCCAGAGCAGTTAGTCAAGAGAAATAAAAGATACACAAATAGGAGAAAAAAAAGTCACAGTATCCCTGTGGGCAGGTACTGTGATTCTAGACACAGAAAAACCTAGAGACTACACCACGAAACTATTAAAACTATTCAGTGATTTCAGTAAAGTAGCAGGATACAAAATCAACATACACAAACCTCTAGCTTTCTGTACACCAATAATAAACTTGCCAAGGAAGAAATCATGAGAGTAATTTTATTCGTAAAAATGACCAGCACAACAAGAGATATTAACCTTGGAATAAACACAGCTCAGGAAATAAAAGACATCCAAGATGAAAATTCCAAAACACTGAAGAAATATATTGAAGAAGATGCTAAAAGGTGGAAAGACCATCCTTGTGCATGGATTAATATTGTTAAAATGTCCATACTACCCAAAGTAATTTACAGAATCAGTGTAATCACCCATCAAAATACCAATAACATTCCTCACAGAACCAGAATAAACAATCCAAAAATGCATATGGAAGCACAAAAAGACCACTAATAGCCAAATAGCAGCATGTAGAGGTGGGGAGGAGACTCAGTATCATTAGTCCTCAGGGAAACTCCAATTAAAACTATAATGAAGGCCAGGCATGGTAGTGCACTCAGTAGGCTGAGGCAGAAGGATTGGTGAAAGTATGAGGCCAGCCTGTATTACATAGTGAGTTCAAGGCCAGCCTCAACTACATAATGAGACCCTTTTGTCTCAAAACAAAACAAAACAAAACAAAACAAAAAACTAAAACTATAATGAGATACCATCGCACCCCAGTTAGAATGGCTATCATCGAAAAAAACTAATTAATGATGAGCACATGGAGGAAAAGAAACTCTTATACATTGTTAGTGGGAATGTAAATTAGCACAGCCACTATGGAAACTGGAATGGCAGCCCCTCAAAAACGGCAAACAGAACTCGCTTGTGATCTGGCTGAGCACCGCTGAGCAGATACACAGGGGAAATGAGTCAAGACAGAAGAGATGCCAGCACAGCCATATGCTTTATGGCGCAACTCACGCTCAAAAGGCATCCTCAGCAAGTGAATGAAAAGAGAAAATATCCTGTATAAATTCAACGGGGTAATACTCGGCCATAAAGAAGAATGAAACCCTGTCATTTGCAGCAAAATAAACCAGACACAAACAGGGACCATTCACTTTCTCTCATTTGTAGAAACTAAAACAAAAACGTTGAGCTGAAAGTGGCATATAGATTCTCAGGGTCTGCCATGGTGCCTGGGGGAGAGGAGTGTGCATACGATCAGTGTGTGCTGTGCGTTTGCATGTGTTGCTGCAGATCCCGTGAACACATAAAGTAATATGTGTTTATAAGAAACAGGTGCCATAAAAATATGGAAATGAATTAAATGGCAGTATCCATCCCTGCACCTAAATAAAGCAAACAGACAGTGAGTCTCCTGCTTCCAGGGGAAGGCAGTTCAGTTCCCAGGGAGGACTCAGGCTGCCTCTGCCTGTGTAGGCTGGAGGAGCCAGGTAGGTGGCCCGCACATAGCTGTCACACCTGGTGGCTTCATCAGGAAGGAAGATCCGAAATCTGTTTTGTTTTTCTGATTCTCTTCAGTGAAAGAAATGGCCTCACTGGTACATTACTCTTCTCTCTAGGCTGAATCTGATGACACGGCATCCATCTGAGTCCTTGGTCCTCCCCACGAACACAGGGCAGTGTGGCCTTTGGCACCCTGGCATTGGCTGGTCTTTGGCATCACGTTGCAAGCTTTCCATTTGATTTTTAAATCATGGAGCTTACACATGGAGAGGAACTCTAACTCACTGGTTTTTCCTTTCCACTAGGTGTAGCCGATTTCAATCTGAAATCAAACGCTTGAAAATCTCATCTCCTGTGCGAGTTTGCCAGAACTGTTACTATAACCTGCAGCATGAGAGGGGTTCGGAGGACGGGCCTCGAAACTGCTGAGGACTGAACCAGCCGATCAGAGACAAGGTCTGTAGACCCCTTCCTGATTCCCTGTCCCAGCTCAGAAGGCACGGAAAACAGTCTCCGTTTACACATCTCTTCAGACCATGTGTCTGAAGCGCTGAACTCAAAGGGATCATTGGAGAAACGGGTGTAGGGTGCGGTAACTGGCGGACACTCTCCAGCGAACAGCTCAAGAAGATGAGGTGGCTCCTAGGAGCGACGTTTTCAGTGTCCGATTCTCCCTGGTAACAGTAGCTGGCTCCAAGAGAAAACTCTCACTTAATAACTATCTTTTCCTGCATTTCATTTTTATAGAGCTGTCCATCCTTATTTGGAAAACCTACAAAAACAACAAAAAAAAAGGCTTTTAGAAAATGGTTGTAAATCTGACTTCTTTGCAAGTAATTATGTATATTGTAAATAGGTATAAAGGCCTTTTTTTTTCTAAATAAGGACCTAACTGCCTGTAACCTGAGACTTCAAACTAAACCACTAACTCAGTGCACTCTCTGGTTTGTCTAACATCTCTCACTTACTAATTATAAATACGTTTTTTTAAATCCTCAAGGACATTATCTGTGGTCTTTCTTTTCTTTTCAAACCCAGCCTGTGTGCCTAATGTCCTTTCTTTTAAGTTGCCCACAGTGTCTCCATTCACACTAGGCTAGTAACCAAAATAACGAGGACCTTCTTTAGGAAACAGTGGGGGAGAATTGAAGCTCAGCTGGATGGTAACCTGGAAATATCAGGGCACCTTGCACTTGGCTGTGCACGCCACCTCAGTGTTGTTCCTGTGTGACATGGCCCATTGAGACACACATACAGCTGCCCTGTGCTCAGAGTGGACCTTCTTGGTGTGGCAGAGAGGAGGTCACGTGACCGGCAGAGTGGGTAGGGGGAACAGCCTTGCCTCCAAAATGGAAATATATTTGCATGTAACCCCAAACTAGCTTCTCTTGCATAGAACATAATAAGTATGTGTCTTTGGTGATACTAATGTTCTACTATAGTTTATTTTCAAAAAAGGGTTAAAAAAGTGTACAGAATTAACCTGTAAACCCTGTTGTAAAACTGGATCATGTCAGAACTGCTTAAAATTAACCTTTACCATTTAATGCCATCTACCTGAAAAACAGTGGGATTTATACTGTATCAATGTCTATTTTTTTGTTTTTTGCTATGAATATAATTACAGTATTTTAATATTTAGTTATTTAATTTGTTCTAGTTGGATACAAAACACACAAATTCAGGGGGATTAAAGCTAGCAGGGGATAAGAGATTAATTTACAGAAAAGGCTTTGGTGGTGGGATTTTAAAAAATGTGTGTTATGTACATAAATATAAATATATATATAAAATCAAATAAAGCAATTAATCTAGATTTTAACATTTTCAGATACTTAATGATAATATTATGAGCAATCCTAAAAGCCCTGGTGATTTGAAAAGCATAGATCATTAATGGCCCAAGGAAGGAAGGACAAGCACTCATACCCTCCCAGAGGCATCAAGGGACAGTGGCTTTGGCTTTCCCAACTTATCATCGTTAGGCCCTGGTGACAGGCACTCTTGTGCACTAAAATGCACATAGATGCACCTGCATTCAAAAATAGGCATTTGGTACAGTAATGATCTTGTACCTGATGGGCTGAAACCAGCTTAAGAACAGATGTGTTCTTCCTGATAACTAGGTCTCCAAGAGAAAATACAAAGGCTGCTTTAGTGCCTTATGCTTACTAAATTTAAATCTTTATTTACCTAGGTTTGAGCCTACGGTCTATTTATGGGTACATATCAAAACCGATTAAAACACTTCCATCTCTGAAAGTTCAAGTATACATGTTAATAAAAGGATAATTGGCATTAATACTACCACCTGAAGAAGACCTGTGTCATTTTCCTTTCTGTCTCTCTTCACCCTCCCCATCCCACCTTCCTCCCATCATCATTACTGATGCTGAGGGTCACCAGCTGCAGAGCCTGTGCCCTCTCCCAGCAGCGGCCTGCCCTGTCGGCCTCTGGATGCGTTGTAACAGTGTTATTCTACACTTTTAAGAGGCGTCCTCCTGTGTCCATGAACCATGTTTACCCCATATCCAATGGGAGAGGTGTTCTTTAGAGACTTGAATATAGGAATGAGTGTGTAGTTACTTACAGGTTTCTCCTACATGTCATCTGAAGTTATATGGGATGAACACTTTCAAACTTTCTTAAACAACTTCCAGAACTAGAAGGTAGAAACCAAAATCCTCATGATAGTATTTCCTCTGGCAGCTGGTGCTGTGGGCAACTGCTTCACTGAGTCAGGTTTCTTTTCCTTTTGGTCCTAATGCAGAAATCACAGACTCACACATCCAAGTACACTCACGTGCATACGCTGATCACTTCTCTGTTATCTTTCGGTGTTCTGTGTAAATTTGTTCACCACCACCCTGTCTCGCCATGCACCCCACCTCTCCTCGAGAGTACCTCACAGGGCTCCTGCCTGAGCTCGTGGTCTGTCGTCCACCCCCATCACCATGTACTCATCCATGTGCTCTGACATGTGTGTGTCATGTCCAAGTGTAAGGTCATGCTTCCGAAGAAGAGAACAGCTGCCCATAGCAGCCATCGTCTGGGTAATAGCAAACACTCTAGATAAGTTATTTTGCACTTTCTTATGTATAAAGTTGGTAGAAACTTATTTTTGCTTTGTATCATTTAAATACATTTTGTTTTGGTAAATGAACTGTATAAAATATTTATGCTGTTAAAACTGTTTCTAGAAAGTATTTTTAATTTCAGCAAGTTTGGTTACTTGTTGCATGACTATTAACACTGCTGACTTTTTGTGTCAGTGCAATGTATATTTTTTGTCCTGTTATTAACTTGTAAGCCCTAGTAATGGCCGATTATTTGTACAGCAACAGAAGTAAACTGAAGATACTGGCTAAGACTGGATTGTGGACTTTTGTACTATATTTCAGAATCAAATTACCTGTTTTGGTGGTGATGTAAAAGGCCTGACGAATTCCTATCTAGTGTGCGATCTGTGATATCTGAATGTTCATTGTATATCTGTCTCTGATGCAGAAAGGTAGAGTAACACAATTACAATACATGATTAAATGCAATAGTCCAGGTACTTAAGTATTTTTTTCATTTCAAATAAATACCTACTATTTACAAAAAAAAATTTAAGTTGTTTTAGTCAGTTCTTCAGAGAAGAAAAAAGTATAATACTTTCATAAAGTCTGTATAGTATTTTCCCAGTTGTGAATACATCTCTGAAGATGACAGAAACATTGAGTGTGAAGGTTTTAGTTCAAATTCTCGTTTGATCCATCCTTGAAACCCAGGCTTTCTGCGTGTTGAACTTCTCAGTTCAGTGGATTCCCTGGAGCTGATGACAGTGTGAGTGGCACTGGGGAGAAGCCAGACTCTAGATGTGACCCTCACATTTAACTGGGCCTATCCAAAAAAGACTTTTTCCGTGGTTGTGGCTCTTTTCCTGTGTTATTCCCTGTGAAGTGAGCAGCAGTGTGCCCATGTGTTGAGATCATGCACATGTGCGTGTGTATAAGACCCTGCACACAGGTGTCCACCCGACCCCTCATCTGGAATCCCAGCTCCACTGTTTGCAGCTGGTCTCTCCAGTTCAGCCTTGGAGTTAGCAGTCTCACCCTTGTAGTGTTCTTAGCTGTTTGATTTAAAAATAGCCTTTCTGCAAAAGGAGGGTGTAGGCAACACTATTTTGATGATTTTACTTTTCCTCTTTCTGAAGATACTAAGTTCATTTTAAGCTTGACCATCAGAGTTCCAAATTTGAGGCTCTTGTGCTCGTTGCAAGTCACAGCTGGGCATGATGGTGCACACCTGTAATCCCAGCACTGGGGAGGCTTGAGGTAGGAGCAGCGAAAGTCCATGGCCAGCCTGGGCTATGCAGGAAGACCCTGCCTCAAAAAGAACAAAGACAACAGTTGCACCTCAGTGCAGCTCCATTTCATTGGCAGAAGATAAGGGAATGCCAACAACTCACAAGACAGTACTACTTTCCTTAAAAATAAAATGTTAATGTTAGAAGATGCCTTGGCCACTCCTGTCCACCCGTTGCTGCTCTCACCTCTGCAGCCTGGGAAGGGTCACCAGCGAAGCTGGGCACTGCAGAGTCTTGAAGAACAGGAGCCTCAAGAAGGCCCTCCTCTGCCTTTTGCTTCTCCTTGTCAACAGAATGTCCTCTCTGCACCTCCCCTTTGTCCACCTGGAACAGCAAAGAGCTGGACCCCGACCAACACTGGCTCCTGGCTCTGTAAATGCTCTTTTCCCACCCACTGCGAAACTCTTGTAGTGTGTTGTTCCTTGGAGTTTCACTAAAGACAGCACCGGGTCGATCCTGAAGACAGCACTTCAGTAGGAAGCAGGACTCGGGCCTCATTCCGGGCAGTGCGGTGTTCCTGAAGCCCTTTCCAGCATGCTTCCGATGTCCAGGGGCTCCTGTGCTAGACCTGCTGGGAGCCGGGGTGTGTGTAGGACATGAGTTCTTTAAACCTTTTGGTCTTAGGGTTTGACCTTTTTAAAAAAAAAACAAAACTGGGATTAAACCCAAGACCTTCCCACTGAGCTACATCCCCAGCCCTTTTTAGATTATGAGACAGGGTATTGCCAGTTTGCCTCAGGCTGGGCTCCAAGTTACAGTCCTCCTGCCTCAGCCTCCCAGAGTGCTAGGGTTACAGGCCAGTCACAGCATTCCTGGCTGCCCTTAAAATTTTTTGAGGACCCCTAACAGTTTTTCTCCGTATAGTTTATACCCATCAGTACTCATTGTAGTTAGTACACATTAATGCTGAGATATAAATACATATAATAACACTTTAAAATAATAAAAATGCTGGGTATGGTGACGCACACCTGTTACCCACATCCCGGGGGGTGGGGGGCCCTGAGGCAGGAGAGTTGCCCTGAGTTCAAGGTCAGCCTGAACTACATAGCGAGACCCTGTCTCACAAAATAATGGTAAAATTATTAGAAATGAACATAAATTACACATCTATAAATTTATTTTCCAAACTAAAATAATTAGGAGAATTGAATTATCCTACAGTATTGCAAATCTATTTATAGTCTATTGTAATAGAAGGCAGCTACCTTTGCCTCCAGTCTGCTGTGATTCTTTGTCTTGGTTGAAAGCAGCTGAATAAAATCCAGTATCACATAGACAAATGTTTGGAAAAGAAGAAATATTTTAGCAGCCTTTTCAGATCATTTCTTCTTAATAGTTCTAAGTTTCTTCATAATTGTCTTGGTTACTTTTCCCTCGTAGCTGAGACAAAATACCCAACATCCACAAGTTTAAGGAGGAAAGATTTATTTAGCTCAGTTTGTAGAGGTTTCAGTTCATAATTGGCTGGCTGCATGGCAGGGTGGCATCTCAGAGGAAACACAGTTCACGTTGGGCAGAAAGTAACAAAAGGGATGACCACAGTTCTATCCTTTATATCTTATCCAGGCTACTTAGGGTGGTATCACTCACATCCTTAATCCTAGTGCCCTTGAGCCTGACACTGCACCATGAATCAATCCCAGTGTCACACACTAGATCCAGCCACCTCTGAAAAGCCCCACATATGCCTGTGTGAGGCTTTAGGGGGACATCTAGACACATCCATAACAATAGTTTAAGCTTCTTAAATACTGATTGCTGTTGAGAATCTGAAATTACCAATGAACTTTCATACTCTGCTTTATCTGCACCTTGTGTCTTTTATCCATCCAATTTCCCTACCTTGTGCACTGATAACGGAATGAACCCCTGGCTCCCTAGTGAGCCACATCCCTGCTACTGCAGTGTATAGGAACCTGCACAATGTAGCCACTTTGTTACATAATATCGAAAAACTATACTATCATATATAATATTCAAATATTACCACAGTCTCAGGAAATTATAAATCATATGATGATGAAGACATGCTTTCCAGATATTTAATTTTTGCCATAGAGGTTTAGTCTACTCATTGCTTTTTCAGTAAAAGCCGTGTTCCTTGGGGAAAACGGCTGGATGTGCTCATGGCTCGGAGCTCAGAGTGTGGTAGTGCTCAGCATGCAGGGGCTGGGTGGAGACCTCAGTGTGTGTCACCACTGAGAGTCAAGATTTAACGGAAGTGAGCATTCTACTGCCTCTCCAAGGACACCTGTAAGAGAAGCAGGAACTCATGTTTTCCTGAGCATTTGGAGATAAGGGGCTAGATTTGCAGACCACACCATTGGCTTGATTCACACTAGGGGGGCAGCAGGTTCACTCACTATTAACTCTACATGCAGTGGAAAAAGAAGGCAGGTGAGGTTTGTGTAATATGAGGAAAACTGTCTTCATCTTGCGGAAAGTCTACAAGGGTCTCAGGACTCCTAGAGGTCTAGATGTTGAGAACCACGGGCCCCAGGAGAAGCAGCCTCAGATGCTACCTAAGCTATGAAGTGCTAGGCACACAGTCTCATCTGAACACAAAGGGTTGCAGCCCTGAAAACATCCACGAGGGCTAAATATGAGCTGGGCAGGGAGCTCCTATTCAGTCAGACCCACAGTGGCCCTGGGTCCCAAAGCCTGGGTGCTGACATCAAATTCCAGCTCTGTTCCCCAGCTCCCTGACCCCAGCCAGGCCCAGCCCTTCCTGAGCACCTCGCCTGCAGTCCCCAACTTCCCACTAGTGAGTCAAGAGAAATTGCACTGCGGAAGTTATTTCAGAGTCATCCCTGCACATCCGCACCCCCCTTATCAAGAAGATAAAGCCCAGGACCTCAACTTTGGCCGTCAGCTGTCAGCTTCCTGTCCAACAAGGGTAAAGTGAAGTTTCAAACTACTTTGCAGTGGAGAGGGCAGGGCCAGTTAACTTGTTCTGATCCTGCCTGAAGACAAGAGGTAAGCACAAAGGAGAGAGTATGTGCAAGCCCTGGGCTCTGACTCCACCAAAGAAAACCCAGACCAGCAAAACCCCGCAGGCTACTTCTGCTCCCAAAAGGCAGCCACTGCTTTGTAAACTGCCCCTAGAGAAAGCGGCACAGGCAAGTTGTGGGCCTGGCCTTCCTGGTGGTCCCAGTCCCCTGCATTAGCTGATTCTCTGGAGAAGGGGAAGAGACAAAGTTGTATGAAAGCAATGTTTTCAAGTTCGCTTGTGACTCAAGCTCGGATCTCCAAATTTAGGTGGGTTTTTTCCCTTCCACGGTAGCGATTTCTGTGTTCACACTGACACATCATCAGCTGGGCCTAGCAAACTGGCTTGAGGCCCTCTCAGACACTACCCCAGCCTTGCCTTCGAGTCATCTGGGACCCCGTGTTCAGCACCCTCTCCTTCCTATTTCTAAGTCAGTGTGAGGGGTTCTCTCTTCCTAGCTCTGCAGTCTTCATTTTCAAATCATTCTGCTATTTTATCAACTCATTTTTCAATCCTCTCTTGAATCCACACTCTTATTAAATGGTGTGCTACACAGCCTTCCCAAAACATTCTTCTATCCCGTGGTTGCTTTCCTTCCAGGACTGCATGCTTGTTCTTTCCAAACTTCTGCCTTCTTGCCTGCACAGTTTTTGTTTGTTGATGTCATACCATTTGCTTTTTGGTTTTGGGGGTTTTTTGTACTGGGGATTGAACTTGGGACCTTGTGCTTCATACCATTCATTTTTATCCTCCTCCTTTTCAGTGTTGAACTGGGCAGGTGGCACATGCCTGTAATCCCAGCATTCTTGGAGGCTGAGGCAAGAATTACAAATTCAAGCCCAACCTGAGCAATTTAGTGACCTACCAAAACCTCCTCTCAAAATTTAAAACGGGCTGGGCCGGGGATTTAGCTCAGTGGTTTTGCCACCTGCTGCGCAAGTGCAAGGACCCGAGTTCGATCCTCAGTACAAAAAAAGAAAAAAATTTAAAAAGGGCTGGGGATTCAGCCCAGTCAAAGGCCCTGGGG